AGAGGAAGAGGAAAAAAAACATATATATGTGCATAAGCAAGAAAGTAGAAGTGGAATATTATTGATGATAACATGCTTGATTGGGTCACTGTGCAGTTTATTCTAGATGGGAAATTACATTTAGTACGTTGTGATGATGCTCAGGGAATGAATGTTAGGGAAAAAAGAAAAAAAACGAAAACAAAAAACAAACAAAAAAAAACGGTTAAACTATTCGTACCATTTAAAAAAAAAAATTGGATATTTGATGGCTGCAGTGAGCGGTATGGGCCCAGTTGGGTTCTACTTTATAGTATGCTCTTTTTACCCAATGGGGTTTAGGCCTAAAGTCAGACTTGAGTTCATGTAGAGGCATGTGTCAGCTGTGATAACTATTGGAGAGACTTAGACTAATTAAGATCACTGACAGATCATTTGGGGAGGGGTGAGGCACGGAGGGCAATCGGGGATGACAGGGACAATGTGGGAGGAGGATGGGTCATAACAGAGGGAGGGGGATGGGGAATCTAGGATGGCAAAACAAAAGGCAAGGTATGCAGGACACAAGAATTGGGAAATTATTTGCTGAGAACATATATGTTGACGTGCTTGATTGAGCCAATGCACAGTGTATTTTGGATGGAAAATTCATTTGTGTGTTGTGATGGGAAAAAATTATAATAAAAAATAAACTATAAAAAAAAAGAGAGAAGAGGATAGAGAAAGATAACAAGTGAACAATAGAGAGGATGTTAGTGAGAAACAGATATGGTTTATTAGGTCCATTTTGATAATGTTGTCAAAGAGAACAATGTTCAACAGAGGAAATAAGACTTTTAGGTGGTTTGCACACAAAATGGTGGAAAAATGCATCTGTAGGATAAATAATGATCTTCCAAATACTAGCAAAGAGACACTCAGTAATGAAAGAAATTTAAAACAAAAGAACATTTTTTGAAAAAGAAAGAAATAGGGAAATCAGGAGAAGAAACCGATCTGAGCAAAGAAGAGATGATGAAGAACAGTTTTAAAGTGTGGAATTTGGAGAAAATAAATTTGCATGTAGATATCCAGAAAAAAAAAAAAAAATCACTCAAGTGAATATGGCTCTGATGTGATTGGTCCTGCCCAAATTGGAAGACTATAATCAAATCTACTAAAATTAAAAGATGATGTTAATTCTACAAAGAGAATTTTTTAAATAATGGGGCCACCCCAGAGCATAGTAGTGAAGCCTTACACAGAAAGTCGGATTCCATGTGGCTGAGCCACAGGTCCAGCTCCAGCCCCAGCAGCTTGAAAAATACGCCAGGTGTGTGTGCGTGCATCCCGGGGCCCTGAAGGGACTGAGAGGGAGGAAGGACTGCGAGACGAGCACACACCACTGGTGGGGGCGTTCTCACTCTCTCCCTCTCCCTCTCTCACTCTCTCCCTCTCTCTCTCTCCCCCTCTCTCTCTCTCCCTCTCAGGTGTACATGCCCACTGTCATAAAAATAAAATAAATAGCAAACATTATAAGAAAGTCAGGGTATGTGACTCAGGAACAGCTAATTCTAAGTCTTAATGTTATCCAGCTTTTCAAATTACAACTATTTATGGATGAAAGGAATAATCCCATCAGTGATTAAGTATTTTAATCGAATCCTAGTCAGGGACTTTGGAAGACTGATGTCAGGATGCATTAGTCCTTGAGACTGGGAAATACAGGGATGGGTGCTAAAAGCTGTCCAGGCCAACCAAGCTTGCGGGTTTACAGATCTGAAGCAAGATTATAAACATTAGGTAGACACTCTGCCTTATTTTCAAAGCTCAGATTTAATGAGATGCAGTCTCATAATGAACAGAGAAGGCTTCCCTTTAACTGCAAAATAAAATATAAAATCTTCTCTTGCACTCTATGAATTATAATGATTTTATACCTTCAGAAAGCAATGAAGGGCTTAAAGTAAATCAATGTCAAAATATTGAAATGATCATTAAGGAGGACAATGTTTTGAAAATAAAAAAAAAGCCAAAAGCTAAGATTTATATAACATTTTTTAAAAAACGAAACAAAAAAGAGAGAATTGGTTAAGTAAATATTTTAATCGTAATTAGAACTGTTCCTTTCAGGCCCAGCTGCAGTGGCCCAGACGTGGGTGCTGTTGTGCTGGGGCCGAGGCCACACCAGAGGCCTGGGTTCACTTAGCCCAACATAGGCAGGGCGGGTACAGCAGCCCTAGCAGGCTGGAAGGCTGGGGCAGGAGAATCACAACACAAAGAGACCCTGTCAAAAATGCCTCTCTCGCTGGCCCCATACCACAGCGGGTAAGCTCTGTGCACTGCGAGCCAGATCTCACGAGGCTATCCATGACTCAAACCTTGGCCCAGGCTGTGTGAAAAAAACACTGGGTGCAAGTGCTTGCATGCCCAGGATCCTGACGAGATGGAGAAATGGAGGGAAAAAGAATTACAGCGTAACCACGCTCTACTGCGGAGTGCTATATCTCCCCTTCGGCAAAACAAAGAACCCCAGGCCCAGCGACAGAGGTGGTCATGCTAAAACACTGTGCTCCCTACGCTGGGACCACAGGGAGGCCCAGTTTGAAGGCCTCGTTCTACCTGAAAACTAGGCATGGTGGAATGCTGGTGTATCCCTACAATCCCAGCAACCTGGAGAGGCTAAGGCAAGAGGATCTCAACAGTGAGACCCTATCAAGACAAAAAGAACAGAACACTGCATAATACAAGTATGAAAATACGTGAATTAAAAATGAAGTAAAATAAATCAAAATGATAACTGGTTAAGTTAGAATGGTAAGATCATAACGTTCTTCTATAATTTCCAAATCTATCATAAAGTGATACTGTTCTTTATAAAGGAAAACTTTACAGCCAATTTAATTTATATACCAAGTATAAATAGTTTTAGTTACACAAGGACATTCACAGCATTAACTGTGGTTCTGAAAGGCGCGGAAGTCATTCTCCACTCAGCCTGTGTTTGTCTGGCTGACAGATCGGCTGTGTTTTTATTACTGGAGAGAACATACAATAAACCTTCTAGGCCTGTCTCTAGCGATTCTGTGACATAAAAAAGTAAGACTTGGGGCCGGCAGGCGGCTTGGTGGTTAAGGGCACTAGACTCCCAAATGGCAAACAGTGGTTTGAGTCCTGAACCTGGAGGCTTGCTTTCTCTCTCTCTCTCTCTCTCTCGTTCTCTTTGACTCTTGCAATCTGTCCCTCTCTGGTCAAATTAAAATAAATAAAGTTAAATCAAATAA